TTCAACATCATAATAATACACAAGATAAAAAATGTTCGCCGGAAAAAATCCGCACCCCTACCCGTCATAATCACCAATGTATTTTAATCCATTTCCAATATTTTCACATAATCCTTTGGTCCATCGACACAGAAGATATAATTCTTCACGATGATGGTCAATTTTAAACTTCAACGGTAATATAAACAATGCAACAGCCGAAATAAACATCAATATTATCGCCGTTTTTTTCAACGACAAAATCTTTCGATAAATTCAATGGACCAGACGGCTACCTGTACGAAATTTTGGCACGGATTCTGGGCGTAAATGGCACGGAATTGGGATGGAATCATTGCTTTCTGGGCGGACTAAGCACGGAAAAGCAAATTCCGTGTCAGTCCGCCCCACACGGAAAACATTTCTGGGCGTAAAACAAGAACCGTTCCGGGCGGAATTTTATTACGGGCGGAATTTTGTACTTGTACATTTTATCTTGGATGGAATTTCAAACTTAACTTTTTCTTGAGATAGAATGGGGCGGAATTCAGAACTTTGATTTTTCTGTCGGGCCAAATTTCAATCTTAGTCATTTGAGGTGGATTTTTTTTACACTTAGAATTTTTTGTTTGGAAATTTTCACTGAATAACTTCATTAAATCAGTACACAAGAATGGAAATTCAACAATTAAAAGAAATTGGTTAAATAATCGAAGTGTTATTTATATCTGTTATTTAAAACACTTTTATTTTGTCAAACATTATTAATTTCAAAAGAGCTAAAAATCTAATGCAAAATTTTATTTAATTTTTCTATATCACATAGCTTATTACATTACTAAAGATACTGAAGTAAAATGTAAATTGTATGCTATTTAATTAAATTACTACATATCTAAATACATGAGTAATTCTTCCTGCAGTGTGTATCTATAGATTTTTAATTTCTTGGTAGCATTAAAGCAATTAATTGTTAAATAATTTAAGAATGATATTTTAAACTTTAATTTATGTTTTAAATGCCATATAAAATAGTACATAATCTACTAGCAAGTTTGTTTGGAAATTTGTAGACATACATCTAGATTATTTACACTTTACTCTGCCACTTATTTTATTATGTTACAATAAACACATATTACTAGTATATCAATTATTGCCATTTAGTTTATGATTGTGTACAATAAACACATATATTATCATTATTGCCCATTATATACATGCACAATAAATGTGTTAAATATAATAACCACTGTGTGCTTGATAATTTCTTACAAGTCAGGATAAATAAATACTACAGACACTAAGGTTAAGATCAGATAAGACTAATGATAAACACTTGTGTTTCCCTCTATCTGATGCATGACTAATCTCCTGATGGGGCATTCTGGTATACTGACCAGACTGTTCCATGTGATTATTAAGGTAGTCTGAGCAGTATACATTTCAAAACAATCAGTTAAGAAGGTAATTGACACTTTGATTCTCTTTCAAAAACTTATTATGATTTTCAAATTCTACATTTACTTATCATTTGATATGTTTTTACACTCAATAAATGTAAAAATAAGATGGTGGGACTGTTTTGATATTTTTGGATAATCTCTGTTTCACATAATGATGGACCTGTCTGTCCAGTTAAACTGTTGAACAATTTGAAATCTCAGATATATGGGTCAGCTGCTTATTGAATGCCACCACAAAGGATCTTGCAAAATTTTGGAGATTACATCTTGTTTTTGAATGTTGTGTACATATTTTGGAATTTTCAAAGAAAACATTTATCTAAATGTGACAAGATTGTGGAAATGTTTGGTTGTTGTAAATGAACTAAGAGTGAACGGGTCACACGAAATACCGGAAACCACCGAAAATACCGGAAACTACAGGAAACACCGGAAAATACCGGAAACCCCTCAAAATATAAACGCTTAAAGGAACAAAGTGATCCCTCTGAAGCATTAATCTCAACAAAATTACATGAAATTGCAGACTTGGATTGACTAGGACGAACACGATAATGTAGCCATTATTCGGTCAGACCATTATGATATAATTGGTTGTGCAAGTTATTCAGTTATTACACCTTGCATTTTATTGCATATTGAAGAATTAAAGTGTACATGCATACATACGTAAATAATCATTAATAGCGTGAGATTTAGACGATAAATAGGATCAAGAAATTTCAAGTCGAAGATAAGTGAAATTTGAACCTCCCTAAACCAAAAATTAAAATATGAAAACCATCTTTATGCTATCATTTTATGTCTCAAACATATGTGGCCAGACGCCCTTTTCTATGTCTGACCACTCGGGGAATTAGCTTTAAATCTTAACTTCACAATTGCTTTTGAAATTTATATAACAACAAACTTTAATGTCCACATTCAGTTTCTTTTATTCCATATGATAAGCTAAATCTTTTACACCAGTCCACCTTATTATTAATTAACTATTATCTGTTACAATATCAAATTAAATCCTTTTATTCACTTCTAATCTTTCTACTCAATTTATTTTCTTTTCTTATCCTAACCTTCTTAACCTAGACTTAAACCTAAACTGACCTAACTTTCCCCCCAAATCTGTATGTCCAAAATTCTATCCAAACCAAAGTATCTGCCCCCTTTTTGAATTTATCCAATCAAATAATATATTTCTTATCTTTAATCTGTCTATCATAATTAATAAAACATTATCACATGTGCATTTGACCATCTTCTAAGTTTTTACATCAAAGGATTTCACACCTAAGTGATATTGCTTTGAGAAGCTGAAGGAAGCAGACCAAAACTAATTTCAGTCTATCCCCCTCAGCTTTCCAAAGAACCAAAATATGTTATTAGATCACATATTAGCATATTATTAGGTTGATCATAAACATAAAACAAAATATTGCCTGGCTACACATGCCGCATATTTTACGTCCAAAATATTTCCTAAAATGGCAGTGCTTCACTTTCTTGAGTTATTTCACGGATTTATATTGTAATATAAATCCGTGGTTATTTACTCAAAATAAAATGGTTTATTTGTTAGACTCATTTATTCGCATGCTTGAAATATTTATTTTGTACTTTGTAAAATGCCACAAAAAATAAAGCTATGATTTGATCAGTCGACCAAGTTAATAAGTTTATCGGCAATGCAACAGTTTATTGTTACCATCTGTTATGATTATATGCATGATGCATTAAATCGACACGAGTTGTTAATTGACCAGGAGTCACCTGCACGTGCAAAGTAAAAAAGCAAATTGAGTATGTTCCAATAGACCCTCAACCTAACAAAGAAAAAATTGTTGCTATTCAAAGGTATTACGCGACTTTAAAATTAGATCCCCATTATCGTAAGCGTGTGACATGGCTAACCGACAAAGGGCTCTCTAGCAACTGTGCACTTGCAGAGTATGTTGGCTGCTTCCCTGGCCTTGGTCCGCACGGCAATGCAAAATGTAAGACCGATGAGTACTTGCGTACACCTGACTATGTACTTGAAGATTTAGGTGAAATGGTAAAGAGTGACAAACCCAAAAAAGTATATGACAAAATGAAAAGCAAATACGACGAGGTGACGAGACCACGGAGCTTGAAACAAGTGAACGACAAAAAACATGCTATGCTTAAAAAAGAAAGACCAACAGCTTTGACTAAAAACGTAGCCGACCAAATTAAAGTCCTTGAAAATAAGGTTTCAGATAATGATAAATTTGTTAGGTGTTCAGTTAGGTCAGGCGGTAAAACACCATGTTTGATTCTTTATACTGACGACCAAATTGCAGACATAAAAAAGTTTTGTTGTTCAGGTCACACTGTATTAGGCATTGACAAAACCTTCAATCTATGCGACATGCATGTCACCCTGTCTGTTTACAAGCAGTTCTCTCCTGGAAACTACCCGCCTATATGACTGAAATACTGTTGGGAAAAGGCGTAAAATGAAACAAACAAACAAACAAAAACTAAAGTGACGATATGTTAAATTCTATAATTCTGCAATGTCGGGTTGGTTTTTTTTTTGTAATTGCTAGATGGTCTGCAATTGCTGTGTGATGCATCAAATATTTAGCAGCAAGTAAAATCTGAATCGCCATGCCTTTAAACCAGGATGCGTTGCTACTCACAATTTATATTATACCGATTAAAAGCAAATATTTCATAATTATTCCTAGATTTTATGTGAGATTATTTAATTTTTATTTTTGATATTACTTTGCTTTTAAGTATCTATTTCATTTAACAAATACGCCCAATATTTAATTTATTATTTATATTTTCTGACAAACTTTTATGGTGAGCATTTATGTGCACACACGTGTTTGACTTTGATAAGTTAAAAACTCCCGCCATTAAATTAATATAAATCGTTGATTGATATTTCTATCTTATTAAACAGTTTTATGATAAGTATGTAATTAATAGCACTTATTAGACTTTAATTAAAATGAGAAATAAAATTTTACATACATTTCCATCCATTCATGTTTTTACATTTTCTTTTACAAATTATCAGATTAATTAACAGCTGTCAAGTCTACAACAAAACAAAATCCTATATTCCTTGGTCCAATCTACATCCATGACAATTCAGATTTTGAAACATATTTTCATTTCTTTCACCACCTAAAGATGAAGCTTTATGATGGCCAATCCCTCTCAAAATTGGTTATCGGTAGTGACGATGAACGTGCCATGGTGAATGCAGTAACAACTGCCTTCCCAGAATCCACCCATATCCTTTGTACTAGACATCTCAGACAAAACTGTAACAAAAAATTGGAAGATGATCAGATAGGAAAAACAGACAGACTTGACATATTAAACAGAATTTTCGGTGACCATGGAATCGTGGACGAGTAATCCAAGTCTGCAATTTCATGTAATTTTGTTGAGATTAATGCTTCAGAGGGATCACTTTGTCTCTTTAAGCGTTTATATTTTGAGGGGTTTCCGGTATTTTCCGGTGTTTCCTGTAGTTTCCGGTATTTTCGGTGGTTTCCGGTATTTCGTGTAACCGAGAGTGAACTGAGGGAGGAAGATTATACAAAAGAATCATAGTAAAAAGTTTCAGGTAAACAACTTTTAGATACATTTATGCAAAAAAAGGTTATTATAAACAATCAAAATATATTGTGGCAGTAAGCAAAAATTGTTTCTATAAAATAAGGTTGATAATTATAAAGTAATGTTGATAAAACTATTATTCAAACTACATTTACATGCTGTGAATAATTATCTGATTATTAAATCTAGATGTATTACCGAAATTATTTGTTTAAAGGTCATGGTCCATAGACTGGCCTCTGAGCTTATGTTTTACAGTGCTAAATTTCTATAAGATCTCACATGTTATAATATACATACAATTTAAATTATGAGAATATATAATTGCAGACTGGGCAATTGCAGACTGTGAAAATTTGCCAACTTAGTGTTTATAGTATCAGCAATATTTCACTACCTTGGAGTCTGAAAAGGTAATTACATGATTGTAGTTTTAGTTATCTGAACAAACCATTTTTAGAGTACAATTGTTTCCCAGATAATGTAAAGATTATCAATTTTGACATCAAAAGTGTAATTACTAAAGTACTCATAATGGGCAATTTTTTACATCATTTGCTTACTGTGAAATGATGTTTCTATAGTATTTTTGAAACTGCATTTGCTTGAGTACAGTGTTTTAACACCCCAGATGAAATATTATAATGGAACACAATTGTATTTTACCAAAGAACAGAATTTGTTTCCATTCTTTTTAAATCAATTGTAATTTTTGTCCTTAAAGGTGAACGCAACTACAAGATGTGCCACTAGGAAACATTTGCACAGGACGTTAGCTGACATAATGAGGAAAAACTGTGGTTTTGATAATCAGTTTAAAGAAAGTTTTGGTTTGTGACAGACAACATAATAGTTGAAATCAAGGTGATCAAAGAAAGCAGCAGTACCTACAAAAGTCATGTACAGATACTTGCACAATAAAAAAGCTGTTTGTGACACTTGAAGTTAATGTAGGATGTATTCTGTATGTAGACAAAAAGGATATCTTTTATTTGTGAAGAAAAACAAACTGTGATAATTTTCATATCTTAACTTGGATTATTGAAATACAATTAGATGTGATTATGTGATTTTAAGAGAATAATCATATAAACATACATGTATGTTTACTCATAAGCTTATAGAGAAGTTTACTTCATGAATATTGAATTAATTATTACATATAAACTATAATTTTATGATGCATATCTTTAATTAAGATAGTCTAAATACAATTGTTTAGCCAGTTATTTAATTATCAATGGTCCAAAGTACATGACAAAATGGTCATCATTAATTAAATTAAATATAATAAAAAAACAACTGTTTATTGAATTTTGCTCTGATTATTCCATGCCAAAATTCTATGCCAAAATTCCGTGCTAAGATTCCGTGCCCAGATTCCGTGCCGGTTTTCCGCACGGACATTTTTCCTGCTCATTTACATATTTCGTGCCAAATTCCGTGCCATTTCCACCCAGAATCCGTGCCAAGAGTTCCGTGCCTAAAATTCCGTTCAAAATTCCGCACGGAATTTTTTCCTGCTCATTTACATATTTCGTGCCAAATTCCGTGCCATTTCCGCCCAGAATCCGCCCGTAAAATGAACCCTTATCATATACTAAAAATTTTAAAGGAATTTTAACTTTCTGGGCGTAATCCGTGCTGAAATTCCGCCCCAATTCCGGGCGTAACATTTCGTACAGGTATGAACGAAGCTATCCGATTATGTGGCCCCAGCTTTGCCGTGAGCAAAATGCGCAGCGCTTTTAAGTTTGGGAACCACATAATCGGATAGCTTCGTTCATAGCCGTCTGGTCCATTGAATTTATCGAAAGATTTTGTAGTTGAAAAAAAAAACGGCGATAATATTGATGTTTATTTCGGCTGTTGCGTTGTTTATATTACCGTTGAAGTTTAAAATTGACCATCATCGTGAAGAATTATATCTTCTGTGTCGATGGACCAAAGGATTATGTGAAAATATTGGAAATGGAATAAAATACATGGTGATTATGACGGTAGGGGTGCGGATTTTTTCCGGCGAACATTTTTATCTTGTGTATTATTATAGTTGTTGAAATATGATTTTTTTTCAAAACGGCATATATTAAGATTTTTTGATATATATGATCAGTACATGTCCTGGGATTGACAAATATGCATTTTATTTGGATTTTAAAGGCGTTTTGAGCTCCAAACCCCAAGTATCTGTGCAAAAAGATAGTTCTGTTAATAACCTCATATGAGTGGCGGCCATCTTTGTTTTTAAGTACTTAATACCAGGAATGACTTTTAAGCAATCAATAAAAAGTTCAAAACATATGTAAATGGTCCATTATTGTTGATGATACTAAAGTTCTATTCAATATTTATCAGTTATCACACAGTAAAAGGGTAACAATTTAATAAGCATTTGCACACACATTCAAAATATCATGTTGGGTCCAAATTGTTAGCAATATTGCTGGTTTTTATACGTAAAACACATTTATGTGAATAGGGTTATTAAAACTTTGAATTTTCTTCAAAAAATGCTATACTTTGTATGAAATTAATGTGAAAAACACTTGCATACAAAAGAAATTTTTTATGTAAGTATTGTTTGCATTATCTGGACATTCCTGGTACAAAGTACCTCCCGGTATAATGTACCTTGAGGATAATTGTATTTTTTCATCTTTTTACTAATGCAAAATCAATCGATGTTTATGCAAGCCTTAATTTTGCAAGTACAACTTTTGAAAAATCTTGATCTGCCTTTTTCCGTTTCTGTCCTCCATTATAAAATGTCTAATGAGTGTCATGTGACCAAAACTTTGAAAATGCCCTAAATATTCACTGTAGCAAAAGGTGTACAGCTTATATTGTTTGAAAACGTTAATTCGTTTTTAATTGATACTGAGTAAAATTCATAATGGATCAATTATTGTATATAAAGTTTAAAAAAGAAAGAAAAAAAAATCATTTCTTTAATCAACATATACATATCTTTACAACATCTTTCATTTTAGATATATTTTTCAGCTCTGTAAGCTAAAAAACAGATGCTATTAATCAAGTTTATTGGTAAATACATTCAAGCTTAAAGAGACAGGTGCACCTATTAAGACCACTATCAGGGTGTATGGCATTCCTAAATAATGGACAGTTTTATATGAAATAAAATAAATTA